ACACACAGACTGTGAGTTGTGCAGTGGATCCCAGACAAATTCTTAAAGTGATAAACAGATTGAAGGTTTTAGAGAAATTAGGAAACAGAACAATAACAAACGCAGATATGACCGTTCAAGTAAAGTATTGCGATTATCCATGGCATTGTCTCTAGGGATCTCCTTCAGTGCAGAATATTTCCATGACATGTTTACCCGCACATCCATGCTCCAGGTGGCAAAATAGCACGTAAGCCACCACCTTTTTGACATATTTAGGACTGTTTTTATGCATGCATTAGGGACGATCAGGTCGCCCAGCCCGTTCCATGATTCGACTATTCTGAGCACTCCTGGCACTCCTGTTTTTATCGGACAAATGACATTGCAATGTAGTTCATAATCAATCACGCCAATTTGTCGGCGCGCACCTGCATTCCGTGTCTTGAATCTACTTGTTACTTTTCATCCTATCCCGATTAATTAGAGGCACTTCCTTAACCGTTCTTTTTTTCTCACCCTCAACTTTATTTTCTTGTTATTATTTATTGCTATCTTGGCGACGCGGGCTGTGGCAACTGAATCCACTCCTCTTCGGTTGCCGGATCACAGTTGCTCAACTCAACTGAACCTCTTACTCATCGTGATCAACATAATTAGGGCAACCCTCTTTTGTATTAGTTTGTGGTTCTAGAGTTTTGGCAGGGTTGTGTCTCATATTACAAGTCTTGTCGGCCATGAGACGCTATTACAGTAATAGCAATCGTACACTTCTTGCATTGAGGACAATGATACTCATGTCCCCTGTAATCGTTCTAACTAAATGCTGATAATTCACGTGGCGCGACACAACCTCAGATTCCGGTCCAACTAACAATTTATGAGTGAAAATTTTGGTAACAAGTCTCAACAACTTAGAGACCGATGTGTAGCACACTTGGATGATTCCTGCTGTGGTGCGCTAAGATTGGGCGCTGTTGCTCGAAAAGCCAGTACCATGGGAGGAACGGGCAACTCGGAATGGGACAGCCCAGCTTTGGACCAAATCCACATCCTTGCACGCGACGAATGCCCGGAGGGCTAACAGATGGTCGTGTGCTACGAAGAAACGCTTTGGGAGTGTTTGGAAAAGGCTGGAAACAACTCATGTCAAGTTGGGAATTAACTTTTATGCACCCATGAAGGATGAATTTTGGCTGTAACACACGCGATCGAAACGGTAAAGAAAAACAATATAATACGTGCAAAAGCAGTGAAAAACACGGCGGCTAAAACAATGTTTCATGTGTGGTACAGGATCATTAACGTAATTTGCTGTTCAGTTCTGGAATAATATTCGGATAAAGCAGAAATGTAGCTAGGTAAGGTATGACAAGTGAGCCGTATGCCCGCGTGCTGACATTTGACCATAGTTTCGTCGCGTTGAGGAACTAGATTTGCAGTTGGATAAAACGCTATGTAAAGGATGGCTGATATCAGTGAGTATTTTCGAAGCAAGTTTTGCGCATGAATTAATGTGAACTTATACACTGTGTTGAACTAATTGGTTTAGAAATGCCACTGCATCGAGATATGTGTTTCAGCGACCTATGAAGTAGTTCGGAATGATTACGCAAGAGGCCGGGAAAAATCACAGAACAGTAGGTCCAGTGTGGTAGAACACCTGCAATGACGAATCGCAGAATCAACTGATGGGAGTCGCTTGACTTTTGTGAATACTTCACTCACGTGAAGTAACCACGATAAATCATGGCTCAGTGTGATTCGCAGACACTTCACTGATGTCGAGAAGCTCAGGCTTTCACAACTGATGTGAAGTTGGGGGCAGTCAGCGACGAGTTTCTGGTACCGATCTGCCTTATGCGGCGAAAAATGCACACCATTGCATTTGGAAGCTTTCAACGTTAAGCCGCTTAAATTTGATCAATGCACGATTTTATCCAAACAACATTGTAGCATGGTCGAAGAGACTGAAGTTAGATGATTCGCGCCGATTAGTACGTCATCGGCGTATTTCAGCATTATGGCTTCTTCAGGGACAAGTATGGAGCCAACGTAGGTAGAGAAAATGAATAGTATAGGTAGAAATTCGTCATCTCTAGACTAGAAAATGAATAGCCACGTAATGCCTCCTTGTAGGACACCGGAAGTAGTGGTAAGAGGCGATGAGCTCCTGCCGTTGAACCTGGTTATCTGCGTACGTTTGGTAAATTAATCCTGTAGCACAAAGGCTATGGATGGTTGGATGCCAGAAGCAGATCTTGCAATTAGATTTCATGTTTAGCACAACCGAAGGCGTTGGTGTAGTCAAGGAATCATACACGTGTGGCTTTGTTCTTCTAACGACGTTATCACTAGGTGCACTAGTCAGGCCACTGCGTCTTGTGTCGACCTCGAACTCCGGTGTGCAAGTTGATGTGCGTCATTCAGATAGCATTGATTTCAACACTTTTTCAAGAATGAATTTCTCGAAGACCTTTAAAGCCACCGAAGTGCACTCAGTAGGTAGATATTTACCTGTCGCTTTCTTCGGTATTGATGTTATGCCAGCAGCTCTCCAACAGTGCGATCTTGCCTTTGTTTAGCCACATGGTGTACAACTCAGCTAGCGGTTGGGCTAGTGAATCTGCACACTCCTTAAGGACGGAGGTTGACAACCAGTCAGGTCCGCTTGATTTGCTTGAATTTAGCTGGATAAGCTTCCTGTGAAGGGCTGCAACATCTACAACTGGCGATGAGTCTGTCGGCCACTGAATCTGCAGATTACGAGTTGGGGAGTGAGTCACTCTTGGAGCAGCAGAAGTTGCGATTTACTTCTACATCTATGGCAGAGTTCGTAGTATGGCGAGCGACTCCTCTAAATTGTTTCCTCTGGCAAATCTCACGGCAATTATTCTTCCCCAAAATTGTCTTCACCTAGGCATGATTAAGGTAGTGAATTTCTTCTATGATGCGTAGAGGAAGAAACTTTACTGAGGCACAATCTTTAACTTTGAAGACTCTCTTATTAGACGCAGCTGCTTGAGGAGTGGTGAGGAGAACCGGTCAGCACGAATGCGAATAGTTTTCCATCAGACAGCAGAGATCAAAACAGAAGTTCGGACAACTTGTCATCCGGTCACAATGTGTTGAGATATCTGCATCGAAAAACAAACTGAAATCTATAGAGTCAACCATTTCTTTCAGTTTTGCTATATTTGGGGGATTGGTTTGTCTCCGTTTAATTTTACGTTCCTTGCAGCGAGTGGTTTCCTTGTGCTTCGTCTTACTGTTAACAACAGGAGATAGCTTGACTGTCGTATGATCAGCGCTTCCAAGTGCTCACTGAAAAGATTTGCAGGTTGATATTCAAACAGTAAGTCCATAGTTGCTTCTAACCCGGTGAAACATTTCACGATGTTCTGTAGTCCAGGTGTTTTGAGGAATGTAGTGTCAAACCTATTGAAATCACCAACAAATATACTTAGGGAATGGTCGATTTGTACAATGACAGCAGCCGTGAAATCATCGTAAAATTTGTCCACTTTGGGACTTGGATCACTGGGGTATATATAAAAATGTTGGCTAAAGTTTGAGCCGTATTCACTCAGGTATTTTGGCGTGCACTTTAGAAAATTAGGCAATCGATATGTTGAGACGAATAGCATAATATTTTCTTCACTGATGAGCACCAGGAAGCGTTAATAAAGGTGATAACACCACCGCCCCGGTTGCGGAACGTGCATGAGCGATCAGCACGGTGGAAAATACAACCGACAACTGCTACAACAGCGTCTTTAACGTCTTTGTGAAGCCGTTTCCTATAGCATTATTACTCCTAGCTGTGCATATTCGCGACAGCATGTTGCTTTTAAGGTCTTCCATTTTTCAAATAAGTGAGCGGACGTTGGTGCTAAGAAAGACAGACATGCTTATACTCGACAACCTTTTTTTCCGCAAAACAACCTATATAGTACGATGTTTTTTTGCACATTTATTACGTTTTTTTGTCGATATTTCTCCCCTTGCTTCGGATACATCTAAATGTGTTATCACTTGCTCAGAAACACATAATGGTCTCAAACTTTCACGAGTGCAAATAATCATGACACTAATCGTAGATGGAGCAGTAGGTTTATAGATGGTGCCGTTGAAGGCCCAATTGTGGGTAATTCCTTGAAAGAGGAACGTAGAGCACGGCAAAATTCGAAGGCCCCGCCTTCCTTGCGGACGCACCACACGACATCTGGGAAGACGTACACAAATGATTGGAGCCGTTGGTTGTGGACTATAATGCGCGTTGTGCGTGCTCACTGTCCCAACAAACATCTCGCGCCTATTGGCTTGTTGCATTCTCAGCGATCTCGGTTAATGATAACTATATCCGAACACAAGTAGTGACACACCATGGGTTAACCTGTGGTAGCAAAAGATTTCCGCTCGTTACTGTTATTGTGAAGAAAAACTCACTTATCTCTCATTTCCACTTTTTGTCATTTTTACCTTACACATTGGGACCGTTTTAGAGACCTCGGTTTCATTTGGATATAGTCCGTCTACTTTTGCCACATACTGAATATTTTTTTTATCCCGCTTGCTTTTCCCTCATCTTGATGCATGCTTCGCGTTGTTATTCTGGCCGTTTATTCCGTTTTAATTTTTTATATGGACTCGTTAACGTTAATTGTCCATTCCTTTTCAGGTGCTATCATAATACGTTTACTGTGGATCTCCCCATCCTTAGATAACTTCATGCAAATGACCGCGTTTTTTTGCTCTGATCTGTCGGTCGGTGTTGCTTTAATGGCTACATTGATTGATTTGTCATTTCGCTTCAGTGTATCATCCCCATCGGCTCTTCTTGTCTGCACTCTTTCTACCGTTACCTTCTTCGCACTTTTACTTTTTTTGTTCTGCGTTACTCCCAAAGTTCGCCAAATTTACCGAATATCAACACACTCCTGCCTGGGGTACTTGAGCGCGTTGCTTTTGTCTGCCGACGTTTCAACCACGACTACGGAGCTCTCCACTCTACCGATCTTGAGCGCGATTTTGTTGCTTCTCTCATCTTTCTTCTGGATACTAGACATATTTGTTTCTCGCTCTACGGCTGACTCTGTTCAGCGTTACCACTGGATGTGCACTTTGTTCATGTGGTGTGGTTTCTCGCTCGGCAGTTTCCACCACAAGACTCTTTGGCGCCCTCTACTGTGGAACTTGGTGCTTTTTGTCCATTGGATTGTCCTGCATCAGATATCTGTTCTTTGCTTCTTGCACTTTGCTCTGGTTACCTCGTTTTCATGTGCTATGATGTGGCCTGTTGGCCTTACCGATTCCCTTCAAAAATTTCCAGTATGGATACGGGAACAACCTCACCCCATCTATTATGTAACCGTGGGTATTCCAATCATTTTATTCTATTCTACCTATACCATGCGCCTGCATATACATAATCGTCTTGCTCATTCCGTCGACTTGACCAGTCGCTGGTGGAAGTTAATCCGCCTGCCACACACCTTGCGTCTATCGATCTTTATCCTTGTATTCCTTGTTTATGTTACTTTTATCTGCTTCTGCTTTGCCGTTTTTCCACTGAACTGGAGTGGCGTAAAGTTGATGCCGTTTGTCGCACTGGGTATGACTGCTTGGTCAATGTTACATCTCCTCTCGTTTATTTCCACGTATCATTTGAACCGCACGATAACCCTGTGTAATTGCATTCACGCTTCGGACTCTGCGGGTAACCAAGGTGAGTACCTCATATTTAGAAATTGTCTACTGCTAGTAATTCTAGCACTCAGTGTTTCCAATTTCTATGGAAATTCTTAGCTAAATTCGAATGACTCCCATTTTTAGTTATTCGCTACTATGTACCGGGCAGTTTTTGTGTGAATCTCTTATATAGCGTCTTACATGCTATGTATGGCCTACCGGATCTCATAAAGTTCGCCACTTCACTTATGCTAATTCCTATTTGTCAGAAAGCACCGAACGATGTCTTTACATTCATATAATTTGTTAACTTGCAACGCCTCGTACATCGCCGCGATACTATAGGATCTCAAAATGGTGTACAGCATTAATTGTGGTGAGCTGTTTTTTAGACGGTTTGATTACGGGAGTTTCCTTATCAAGCGAGACAATTCCCCAGATAGTGATAGTCAAGCACTCAATTTACTAATGTATAGCTCGCAGCGATCAAGTCTCTGTTCTGTATTGCAATACTGACCGCATCACAGCGTTCTAAACCTCTTCCCAAACCAATGCATCGACATCCCTCTGTCTCCATAGTGCTTGCGGCATTGAAATGTCATGAGCCTTAGCCGTGAATGCGGATGGAGCACACTAGTTCGGTTTGCTGACCTGTCCACAATTCTCATTCGTGTTATCCCTCCCAACTGCAGTATTGCACTCAATTTCCAGACTAGTTACCTGTCACCGGAAATCAGTCTTCTAGTGGGTACCATCAGCTTGAATGGGAACAGCTGTCATTAATATGGGATCTGAATTTTCCAAATAAAGGTCGGCATCGCCCCCAATGCACTATGAATAGGGGTTCTGTAGCAATCTGTCTGCCCAGCTTGAGCTTCTTTGGCGGTAATTGGATTACTGAATTCTCAGTTGTGTTAGTTGTAACGCGAAGGGTTGTTCTACTGAGTAGTCCGTTTCGAAATATCAGCTGTGTCTTGAAGGTATTTGGCATAAGGAACTACGGGATTGATGTTGCTCGTTGTTGGACGTCAAGTGTCCATGCGCTACAAAAAAACAGTATCACTAGCGGACGCTTAATCCATGAAGTGAAATGTTAAGATATGCATTACGAATATCATTTCGATCTGACTTTTTCGCTATCGCCTTTTGCTTCACCTGGACCAAGGAAGTCGTTCCTTTTAGGATCAATGGAACCCGGCATGTTGCGGTGCATTTCAAGCGACTTGAGGTTTTTATCTCCCGGAATCCTCGTCTCATTGCTGGAGCTGATGGCAATTTGCGGCCGGTTTATCTGATCTCCGGACACTACATAGCTCAAGAATAAATACTCTTACTCACCTTTATGATAGTCAAAGTACGGCTGATGTGAAGTATCTGTCTCTTAGCCTCCATGAAAGAAAAGAAAGTCGTTAGCAGTACACCGGTACGCAATACCGATGCCTCGCTACCTCGCAACCATTAGCAGTCGCTCGTGGGCTACGGACACCGGTCTTTAATGCAGTTTCGAATCTGCGCCCTCAGATTACAAGAAAGGCTTGTGATCCTTAGGGCTACAGGCGACTCAGTCTCCATGCTCTTACCTCCAAACTGTCCACCATACGCCATGCCTTGCCGCCTCATTAATTTTAACGCGGATCAATTAGGTTTCCACTCCACTTGAACAGTGTTGAACATTCGAGTGAAATACTATATGCAGAGATCTTTTAACACAGCGAATTGTCCATCGATTAATCACAGTGGTCTCTGTTTTTACGGTTCGGTAAGTCATCTCTCCTTGCGTGTAGCCTCTGTCGACCATTCATCGCTTATCGAAGCCACTGTGTTTGGATTCTATTTTCAAGTATAACGTAAAGCGTTTCACAAGCGCATTTACCTATTTTTACTCTAGGGTGAATCACTTTAGTTTGGCTACTGGTCCGCTTATCATTTCCAGACCGCCATTCGTGATGGTCGTCTACCACCGACACATATTATTCTCATTCTGTCTCTCTGGCTAAAAGGGTCTAGAAATGCCCATTACCAGTTTAATAGCGCCGAGCTGCTCGTTTATTTTTGTGTGTTTGCTATCACAGACATTTGACGAATGAACATCTTCCAACGAATAGCTACCCCACCCCTGCATTTGGTTTTGCTAAGTTTTGGGCACTTGACCTTGGGGACTTAACCTGATTTCCTAAAGAGCATCATCCTATTTTATGCATCCGTTTCATCATTCTTCAGCTGGATTGTTAAGGATTTGCGTGATTTTTTTCCTTCACATTACACATATTTATTTATTTGTTTATATTTCTCTTAGTTCTTTGGAGTGATGTAATTTGAATCCCAGTATAGCGCAGTTGATGGACAGGTCGCTGTATTTACACAACCAGCCAACAGTATAGAAAAGGTCAAATGACAAATAAAAATAGGCGAGATACACGTTTATTGCCGAAACATACAAGCTCGCTAGGCTAACGGGTCCCAAAAGAAGGCTTGCTCGGGAGAGAAAAGTATGTTCTGGGAGTGAAAGCATGCAGCGTTCCGACCGCATTCCGGATGTTTGTGTATATGAACAAAAGTCATCAACATGCGACAAACAAACTACTTAATTTTACGGATACAAAATGAAACTATAATTTGCTAATAACTTACACATCATAGGGAAAATTTCCGTTCTTCCACATCAATTGTAATTTATCACCACACTTTTTAACCATGTTGACGAGTATGGATCATGACACACTTGCTACCATAAACACTTCTCTTCATTCCTCTTAGCTTTCGACATTTAGTTGGTTTATTTTCCATTATTGCTAGAGTTTCTTGAATGAGATACACTGATCCACCGAATAAACTAATAATCCATCACACTTCTTTGACGTCTATTCGCTTCCTGGGATTTTCCTTGAGCATCTTTTGTATGATTGTTCATCTACTTGTCTTGCAACTTCTGTGCCTCTAGTCTTAGTTCACGCTTACGCGTCTGTTTGGACACTGCTGCAGTGTCCCAACTCACACACAACCGCTTACAGTTTCATATAAGCAATTTATTGCTGCAGCCTACTGATATACTCCTGTTTCCCTTATATTTGTAACTTTTCTCTCAGTATATACGATTTTTCGACTATGCGGTGCCCTAAATAATGCTGTGACGCTGAACAGGCTAAAAGTCCGGACAACGTATCGCTGTTCAGATTGCCATTTAGTGAAATATCCTAATCCAGATCCTTTCTCATTCACTTCATCGCCCATCCATCTAACTTTCTGTTGGTTTGTTTTTTCTCCAAGTTCTGAGCATTCAGCTTGTTTTCGTTGTAGATGTAGTTTACTTTGACTAAAAACCCAACAACACTAAAGTCTTTCTATTATCCAACCGATTTCGTCTTCAGGTAGATAGGCTTGAAGGATGAGAGTAAGGCCCGGGACGTAGTGTTTGACAATTGACACTAGGTTATGGAGCTTTGCTTAACTCAACGGTGTCCTTGTTTCTTGCTGTTCAAATACATGGTGGGCACTCCAAACGCCAACAACTTGTTCTTCCTTTTCGCTCAGTTCGGATGAGCAACTTGCCTGTGTCCAGGGAATAGTGTCCATGCATCTCGACTTGCTAGTGCTCGAGTTGTTAACCCTCCACTCCTTTTCCCACTCGCTCTTTACTTTTTGTTTTTTATTCTACCGGCAGATATGCTTCGTACTTGGGCTGCTCATGGCATCCGACATCTAGCCGTGCTGTCGAAACGAGTCCACTTTCTGTCCGCACTGTCAACCTTCTTTTTGTTTCTCCTTCTTCGAGACACCCTTGCACTCTTTCTGCTGTGTTTCCCGTTTGAAATATGCTTTTGCAGCGTTTTCGTGGAGCTGGCGAAATCTTTGGGTGGCACGGCCATTGGTTGCATTCTGATCACGCCCACTGTTCCTTCGAAGTGAGTGCATTTTGTCATCAGCAACTTCTCCTTGTGGCCGTTGTCATTCGAGCCTGGCGTAGTCTGGCTTCTGTGTTTGGTTAAGCCTGCGAATTGTGCTTTACCCTGCTATGTTACGTCCTGAAGAATTCGCTTATTCAGACTGGTCATGGTGTTGTATGCATGTTTATTAGGTTATTCTAAAATCGGAGTCCACTGTGCCCAGTCGCCCCACCTTGAATTTTCACACCAGTAGAAGCGACTGCATTGAATCGATAGGTGAGAAATGTAGGCAGATGGAAATTTACAACACACGGGAACTACTGAACAAAACGACAAGAAGACGAGCACTGCAAGACGGCAGAATTTCGTGTTATCTGATCACTTGAAAACGAACAGCATATATAGATCACGTAAGGGAAGGAAACGATCGTTTTGATCAGAAAAAAGTGCACACAAAAACAAAACAATAGCTGGTAACGCTGGGGCAGAAGTCATGAACCCCAAGTAAGCTTAAGGGCCACTGTCATAAGCTTTTGCACACAAAGGGTGGGACGGTAACAATTTACGGTCACAGTCTCGACAAACTTCAGCACCCTGGCGTTTTTGTTTCGGTAGTGAAGTAATTTAGTTTCACCACTGGATGTAGGGAGAAGGCTCGAGAATTACACTGTCGCCTGGACCAAGTACCTTAGGCCCCATTGCTAACCGCTGGTGTGATCGGTACTTCGCACTTCATTCCGCAAGACGGCGTATCTGTCTTTCCGACTTGGGTCCGGCCTAGCAGGCCCATCCTCCTCCTCATCATCATCATTCGGCAGATGCACTCGTGTTTTCATGCCCTAATTTGTAACCACTGAGGATGACCAGCCACGAATGAAAAAATGTGAAGGAAAACATGTATGATCTGTATGTAAAAAATTTTATTTTTTGTATGCAATAAGCAGACCTTTATGATATTGCATACAGCATGTGATCGCGGACAACTGGACATCATGTGAAGGCGGCTTTGATGGGAAACTTACCTGCGACGAATGCTGCGTAGCGCCATAGTTTGCGTATTGCTCAGCACTATGCAAATTTTAACTAGACAACTCGGTCAGGAAGCTACCTCAAACCCGCCATTAGCACCAGATGCTGGTGTGGTCCCTTAATTTCTCGTGTCGAGCATGGGGCGAATTCCGTGTTTCTAACTTTGCGGCTCAAACTTACCCAGTATACCTTTCTCCCATTGGGTAGTTGTCCTTCTCGAACTTCACACCACAGAATATCTAGCAAAGATAATAGGGATTCATTCGATGACTAGTGAGCATACGCGTTTGATTTGTCCTAGCCAGCTTAACCTCCTCAGCCATATCTATTGCTTTCGTGAGCTTGTTTGGCCGAGGTCACACAGTACTCTCCCTCCCACTTCACCATTGCGGACGAGTTGATCCCATCCATCACGAGCGAAGCTGCGCAAACATCAAAGGTCAATGATTTGATGCACCTGATATCTCCGGGTCGAAGGAGCCAAATCTAACCACCGTAGAGAGAAACGATTCTCACAGTTGTCTCGTATTTCATCACGATGAGACTAGACGTTAACGGGGTGTTTGATGGTTTGTGTACTTCAACGATTTATTGAGCTATGTCGGTGATGCTTCTTTGCACATTCAAAGCCAATCGTACCAGATTGGTCAATGGTTAGAGGCCAGACAAACTCACTCTCCTGGCCCTCCAGGTTGGAGGCTGGAGCGAAGCTGGCTCCTTATTCCTTAGAACGGACTTCTTGCAGCCCACTGCCAAACCTGCTGCCTTGCGGTCAGGTTCTCAACCAAAGGCTTTACCTGAGAACCCTAATCGTTCTTCCGTCCAGGCCTGGGAAGCCTGACAGTATCCTTCCCACGCAATACAATAAACTCCTTTTTAACCAATCTCTCGGTGTTCTGGCCGCTGGAGAGACTGTCCAAAACTGTCGCTGAATTTAAGCACGAGCATAGACTCCGATCACGCACTTGTATGTGCGATTTCGAACTTTGCATTAGTGGACGTCCGCAATGACACTAGTCAACTGGGGAAGCTAGATGTATGTCGAACTGCGCTGGCATTCGTATTGAGTATGTGTCCACTGAACACAATTAAAGATCACTGGTCGCAAATCCGTCAGACGTTATTAGCAATAGACATGTCTTGATGTATCGAATCTGATTAAAACTCGGATACGGATTCATCGATGTGGTCTGTAACTCGCGCTTGGTTGATGCATCTATTTGCCCTTGCTTGGTTCTGGAAGTATTGAGGAGAGTTTCCAAATGGTACATGATTCTCCTTTGAGAATGTAGTGTGCTTATCAGCTGCTCGATGCCGATTTGCTTGCCGTACCCAGACATCAGTACTAACTTGGAGTTCGAATACAACTTTTCTGTTTCGTTTTATTCCGCCCCATCTACTAAGATATGGAATGGTTGCTATTGTATGTTGGCCTGATGGTTGGCCGGCATTCGTCATCTGTCTACGTGGCCTCCATGGGGACAACCACAAGGCGCCTGCGCCTACAGAGGGACCATGGATAGCTTGTGCTGCACCACCCACAGCTCCATCCACATATCCCATGTCCTGTGTAAACTTGAAGGAATAAGACCGGGAGGCATATGGATGGGAACCACGTTTCATCAGCGGAGCCGGCCCACACACCTTCGAAGTTCACCTCAGCAGCATTCCTGTCCATCTAATTTGGGAATCAGGCGTATCAGGAGGTGGCTGGGCTGTATCTCGCTATACAGGGGATGCATGAAACCGCTCGTTGAGCCTAGCACCCTCACGAAGATGGCACACCCCGTCCCAGTCCCCAGAAGCAACAGTGAGCAGTCTCACTGAGCCAGTAGTCGAGGTGGAGTTTGTTAGACAGGTAGGCACCTTGTCATCGTTCACACCTAGCGCAGCAACACCAGGGATATCGGGCAACAACAGTCAACACACATGCACACATACAGACCAACAACAACGACTATGAAGCACCCGTACCACATCAAACGCATTGTTGGCCTGGGTTAGTAGGTGGAATTGAACCTGAAGCAGCGTACTTACCAAGAGCTACGTTTATGATGATTACTGATTTAATTGACTCTGCTTTCTAGATGTTGGACCCGCGTGGCGACGCTGATGGCTTACTAAGCCGCCTTGGCTCAAGCACTCGCAACGCATGTGCTACAGCACCATTCGCTCGACGTCGATGAGCTGGAATCCATCGGTGACTACTGCTTTCATACCCGGCGCTTTTTCCGTATGCAGCTGTGATTTCTCGCGCACATAGGCAACCGTCCTCTTGATATGCTCTCGCTATCGGTGCCAATCCGCTGCCATCGCTTCCCACTACCCGGAATCAATTTTAGTTCATGATGTTCTCACCTTGATCATATCCTGGTAACGCAACTTCGCTTTCCCACGTGCCGCTTCCTTAAACGCAGTTGGCCATAGACCAACTATTTCGGTATCCGGGTCGAATCCGTTCGGCAACCATACCCCAGCCATCTCAGGTGCCTCAGTAGATGTATGCAATCAACCGCATATCTGCCACTGCGGCGGAGCACTTCCGTGTCAATAACTCGTTCATACCAGCCGATGCGCAGAATACGACGCAGGCATTGTTTTTGAAATCGCTTCAAATATCGGACATCCTCCAGGTACATCGTCCAGGTTTCGCTGACGTGCAGAATAACGGACTGCACCATGCACTTATGTAACATCAGCTTTGTCTCACCAGTAAGTTGGTGAATGTTTCACATGCGTTTTTCCAGCTTTAAAAATGCGACAGCCGTCCTCAACACGCGGATGCGCAGTTTGCTCGTCATCTGCAGGCAGTTAAACGTTACGTTACCTAGGTAGCAGTGTCGAAGTGAATTCCAAGATCTCGCTGCCAAGGATTTTGCATCTAGAGAAGGCTGACAAAGTAGTCTTGTTTGTGTTGATTGTGAGCCCGAATTTGGCCGCAGTCGAAGCGAAAACCGAAGTTGTGTACTGCAACTCATCCGCGCTGTGTGCAAACAGCGCATAGTCGTCGCTATACAGCAACATATGGATGCTTATACCACACACTGGGGTTTTCGCCCCGAAACGACGGTTGTGCACCAACCCACTATCAATACAGTGCTTCACACGGACACCGCAATCACAAGCGGCATCAAAAATACAAGACATCATTGCATGAAGGTTAATATTAAACGGGGCAGGGACTGAGACAGCCTTGGTTTACACAGAGACAACAGCAAAGTCATTTGAGGTTTGTCCACTCAGCTGCACCCTCACCCTCATACCACGGTGCAGACATTCAATTGCATATACAAACTTACTCGAGCAACCAAACTGACCCAATACCAGCCATAGTGCCTCGCGGTCCACCATGTCAAATGCCTTGGTAAAGTCTACAAACAGCGAGTACAATGGCTCGTGTCGCTCTCTACATTTCTCCTGCAACCGACGAGCCGCAAACAGCATATCTATAGTGCTGCGACTTGAACGGAATCCACGTTACTCTTCCGCCGCATTCGGTTCAATGACGTGCGTGACGGAGCGGTGGAGTAGGATTCGTGCGATCACTTTACTTACACAACTCAGCAGGTTGATGCCACAATAATTCATGCAGCATTACCTTTTCACTTGTACATTACTAGCACAAGGGCTTCATCCATTCAGCTGGCACCTCTTCAAATCACACGCACTCCATCAAATGGTACAGTGCATGTATCAAAGTGGATTTGCTTTGTTTCAATACTTCTGGTTGTATGCCGTGGGAACTGGCGCACTTATCGTTTCGCAGCTGAGCGTGTGCTCTCTTCGTCTAGTCCAGTGTTGATGTGTCGGCAAAACACTTCTTCATCTCTCTATGTTACAGCTCGTGCAACCAAGCCTAGTCAATCTCTAAACGGTTGTTCAAGTGAAGTCAAAGTGAGTTCGCCAGGTCTGCATTATGTCTGCAGCGCCTGCAGTTGCTTCGTGGGTCCATACACCGCCTTCAAGTAGTCAAAGAATTCCTTGTGCTAGCGG